TTTTCCTTTCCCCCCCCCCCCCCCCCCCCCTTAGTTGGTAGCGTGGCGTTCGTTACGTTGGTAAAAAAATTTCCGACCAAATCGTGATCTGTCAATTGGATCAATTCACTATTCGTCTCGGCAATTATAATATCAATATATATAATGCTTTTTATAAATTAATATTAAGTTGATTTATATTAATATTACAATAACTGCAACAATATATCAATGAGATTCAACTGACCAGGTCGCGATTGACACTGCACAATAATATATTAATATATAATATTAATATATAATATTAATTTGTTCAATTGTGTGTTCGCACTCGCACGAATTTTCGGATTTTCGTCCACGCAAAGTCGATTCCATTACTGTATCCTTTCTTCCTTTAATTTCTACAAAATAGAGCTTACGTGTTACGGAGCTTTCCATAGGAAATAAACTTTTAGATCACGCACGTCTCTTCGGCCGACGATAAGCTCGCGATTTGCAGTTAGAAGAATCGCGTGTCTGACATGCTACTAGGCAAGTACGCTGATGAGAGCGAGAAAACAGCACGCACGACATCCTGTCGTTAGCTCGAGTCTCACGCGGTCATCACCATCGGTGGAGATTGCTTGCAGTTGCTGTCGGTAATCGTGTACACAGAGTCCGTTTGACTCGTCCTGGGCCGATCCGTTGTGTTCGGCTCTTGATTCTTTTCGGGATTGACATAATACACGTACCTAGCAGCGTAGCAGAGCAACAGCATCTCGATTAGCATCAGCGCGTTAAGAGTCACTGAAATCCAAAGCACAGAAAGATAACATTATTTCTATTAGATTTTATATATATATATATATATATATATATATATATATATATATACAGGGTGTCCCATTTTAAAAGATCTACCCTCATAATTCTTCAGCCAAGTATATTCAGCAAAAATGTTTCAGACAAAAGTTGTCGAGTTTAGAGGGGGACATCTGAAGGTGACCTTGACTTTGACCTTCATTCTGAAGGTTATTCGAAAGTCAACTTTGCTTTTTAAATAGAATCATTTATTTTTTTCTTACGGAATTTTATTCTACGTAAAGAAACTAACAACTTTTGTTTGAAAACATTTTTTATACGATCTCTATTTTCTAAGGTATTTACGGAAATATCTACAAAATTGTTGGTTTCAATAATTTTTTACTCGAATTCTATCAACTTTACCGAAAAATGGTAAGAGATAAAAATTGTTTATTTTCTTGTATATCATGTATCGTATAATTTCTCGTTAACTTCTGTAGGATTAACAGATACGAGCTACCTTTAATAAACAATCGTAAAAATTCTTGTAAACGCGTATTAACCACTAAAAGATTAAAGCTATCTTTTTTGAATCACGCGTTCGCTGAAATTAGGCTGTATCAAATTAATTCATTTTTTACACTTTTGACACTCGGATATCGATAAGTATAATGATACTTGGAAATCAAGATATAATTCCTACCAATTTAGATTTCAAGGTGATAAACGTGAGAAGATAATCTTTGCATCTCTACGAGATATGTACGAATTAATCCACCTCTTGACGTCTTTTAATAACTTTATAGAGCGTTAAGAGTTCTTCACTTATGAATTTATTAGCGTTGATATGCAATATTGCGTTTCTGCTAGTCAAAAGGTTAAATATAACTCACATTTATAACAATAAACGCACACAAGAACCTTTCATTTCCAGTTAAATTACAAATCCCGAGAAAGTATTTTATTGTCAGTAATACATTATATAATCTTTATATTATAATGATATACCGAAAAAAAATACTTGAAAATTTACTTGCGAGATATAAAGTTTATCTCTACAGAAATAAACTTTATTTCACAGAAATAAATTTCATCTCATGCACATCCACATAGAGAAATGAACTTTATTTGACAGAAATAAATTTTTATTTCACAGAGATAAACTTTATATTTTTCAAACAAATTAAAGTTTTTTTTCTGAGTGTAGTCGATGGCAATAGAATTGCGATATTTCTTAATTCGATGACTTGTAGAATTCGTGCAAATCACCCGGCCGTTCTAGCGATTTCGCCCCGTTTCGTAATACATCGAAGAAAACATGTGTGTCGCAACCTTTGCGCTCCACACAACATATAACACACGGTACCCAAATACCTGCGCGAGTACACGTAGCCTGTGCGAGAACTATCGCGGCAACGGCGGGAATTAATTCACGTGAAGTAACGGGTGAATCCTCATACACATACAAGCCGTCGCGCGGATGCTGCGTGACGTCTTTCTTCTGTGAAACGAGTTTCTTTGTTATACTTTTTTAGCCGGTGTCGAGGGCGTGCGCGGTCCCCTGGCGCGACGTGAAAAGCGGCAACGCATTCTGAATCCAAGAATGAGCGATCTTATCGTCCCCGCGGGGAAGAGACCGCCGAGCCGTGAAATCGGTCGCGCAATCGCTCTCCTTTTTTCCTTCTTTTCTTCTCACCGGACCTTTGCACGTAAGCGCGATATAATGGCATTTAAACGGTAAACGCGGTTGACGGTTCACGATACACAAGTAGCATAATCCACGCATGTCCCCCGCGATCTAATAAAGACGTTAAATAATTCATTAATCGCTCGTCTCTCGCCTGCCCGGTGCACAATATCGAGGGACTATTTATGATTTCTATGAGATGCGTCTGCGATCCATTCGACTATGAATAAGGAATGAAATTATGCTTATTGTGTTACGCATATCTCCAATGAATAATAACGAGACGGGGTGATCGTGCTCGGTTTTCTATTTTGCTCCAACATAACTTCGATGAAATAATTTGGTAGTTAATCATTTTCCTACCCTGTGTGTTCAACTTTATTTGAATGAGATAATTCGGCAGTTAATCATTTTTTTATTTTGTTTAATTTGAATGAAAAGAAATTCGATAGTTAAACTGTTTCTCTGTTCTACTTCAATTTATTTCTGATCAAATAGCTCGGTAATTAATTATTTTTTAAGATACTCTTCTAACTTGTAAGTCCAACGAAGTAGTTTAATGGGAACTTATTTTCTGTTTGATTTATTTTGAATAAAAAATAATTTGATAGTTGAACATTTCTTTTAACTCTGTTCTAATTTAACTCAATTGAAGTAGTTCAGTGCTTAACTACTTAACTACTTTTGACTCAATTTAATTTAAATGAAAAGTAATTCGGTGGTTAAACATTTCTCTATTATATTATATTTTAATTTGAATCAAGCAGTTTAGTGGTTTTCCATTATTTTTATTCTATTTATTTTTATTCTATTAATTTGATTCAAATGAAGTAATTTGATAATTCGTAATATCGAATGTCTGTGTCGCGGAAAATATGTTTACAGTAACATTATTAGTTATGAAAGTATAATTTTAACTCGATTCAATCTGATATTCTTTTCGTGTTAGTATTTTTGTTAACTCTGCACGCGCGCAGCGAAAACTCCCGAGCCTTGAATCAGTATGTTTAGAACATATCTGCCACGAAAGTAGACGATAATCTTGGCTAGAGTACAAAATTGAGTGAAAATTGGCAGTGTGCCATTACCACTGGCGTAGATCTCCGGGGTGAGGGGCATGTTGCACGGGAACAGGCCTGTAGCGGGCAGACCCTTACTGACAATGCTCGCTTGCAACTTGGAGAACAGTAGCACCAGCTGCGAGACCAGCGTCTTGAGGTGTAACTTGGCCTCTGCGGAAACGAACGTCATCCGTTAGAAGCGTTTATTTCTATTAACGCGACAGGGTATATATATGCGCGCTCTCTCGTGTATGCATGTGTGAGAACTCGCATGGGTGACGGAATAAAGGAGACCTCTTCTGGTGCTTGCCAGGATCTTGAAAAATCGTTTCTCAGACGTATACGCTCTATGGTCTACTAGAATTTTTATAGTCCCTCGGGTCACAGACGCGCTGAACTTGTTTGACAAACGTTTCGCGGACAAGCGCAAAATCGCGAAAGTGGTCAATCTTCTTGAGCATGACAATTCGATTTTACTCTGCATAAAAATCATTAGCATACGTTTTAAACTGAATAAAAATTATATATTTAAAAATCTAATAAACTCTTTAATATTTGAAATATTAATATTTAAATTATATTTTAAATAATTATATATATTTAAATAAAAAATATATATATATATTTGATAATATTTGATAATAATAATAATACTTAATATATAATAATATTTGAAATAAAATAAGAATTATTTTCTTATCAGAAATATCACTAATATTTGAAACAAAATAAAAATTGTATTAAAAAACCATAAAATATTTTAAACAAAAAAATTTTACTGTTGAATTAAGTTGAAGTAGAAATTGTACTGAGGGAAAAATGTCATGACCGAAATATACCTACCGAATAAATATTTCTTATTTTTTTTAGATGTTTTCTCTCAGTATAGTTTTACGCCGAAAGAGAAATTGTATAGTTTACTGAAAAGGATCGTGATTGTGAGTGAAACGTTCAATGCGACGAATATTGCGCGCCAATAACTATTCTAGGACTCCCTTAGTTCTTTAAAAACTAGTATTCCCCCGAATAAAACACGTATTGCATGCAGAACGCGTCATCTCGCGCCTGATGAACCCGGACGGAACATTTCTCCGGAGCGTTAAAGTAATAGTGGATCGTTAACGCGCGCCTATCAGTACTAATTGTCCGCAGCGATGGTGTTGGGCGTTGAATATCTGAATCGCGATATAAGTGAGATATCTCTCGACGAGTCTACTAATATTTTAATGACTCGCCATTAGCCCTCGATATCTTGAGTATACGCTCGTATCACGAACGGATGCAAAACGCGCACGCGATGATTAATCGGCCGGCATAGTCGGGCGGTTATTGAAAAATGGCTGCGCGATGCAGATGAACCCCTCGATGAAAAATGTATGACGATGGGCGAACCCTCGGATAAGTATGCACGCTCATTACCTGGAGCTACCGCGTGCAGGCTCTTCGTGGTGATGGTGAGACTGTATATTCCCGAAAGTATGCTGATCACCATAAGCGGTTGAAGGTACACGCCGTATTCTGTGAAGAGCATCGGATTCTCCGCCGCCATGAAGAGGTATATGAAGTAAATGAGGCTCTGAAAATGCGAATATTCTCTCAGATTCGGGGCGACGCGCATCGTCGGAAATCTCATCTCGCTCGTTCGTCCCGTTTCATTGCCGTTTAAACGACTCCAACAACACCCGCTTATCGTCAGAATCTTGGGCCTATATTAACAGTCGTTACTTGAAACTTTTCTCAAATAATTTGAGTCGAAATTTTAGACCTATGTTAAACTTTGAATTTTACAACGCAGTAAGTTAGCAAAGTAGGTTTAATTCTAATGATACAATTTACTCTGACTCTGATGATGTCCGAAATTTCTCTTTTCACTTTCTTTAGCATCAAAATTGGTTGTATTATAGATTTCAAGATATCAAAATAGATGTTGAATGAAATAATGAGACTGAAAGTAGAATCAAAATTTCAACTTGGGGAGATATTCAGATTTGAGCTCAAAGTTAGATGAAAGTTTTCCAATTGAATCGCGATTATGGACATAACATCACGTACATAATATAATTCGGAAAAACTTGAATTCCGAATAAAAATTTGACTATCTCGTAAGACAAACTTTAAATAACGATTGTTATTAAGGGGTTGCTGAAGCTGAAAACTTTACTGACAGAATATATTTTTCTGCAAAGTTTATATCATATTGGTTGTACTGAATTACAAATGCTTTTACGCCATAAAAGCACGTGCAAAAATAAATAGGAGCATTGCTCAATATTTGATGAAAACGAAAACAAAAAATTTAGATGTAAAATAAGTTATCAGCATTATATTGTATTTGCCTAATCCAAAGATTGTACATACCGAAAGTGTGGATGCTCCAAATAGAAAAATTTTGAAAAACATTGTTGTATCTTTGCATCTGAATTTAGAAGCTTAAGAATATCCGAAAAGTTTGCAGAAAGATTTCACGCAACGCGTGGTTAGATTTTCCGCTGAATTTTGTAAAAGAAAGCAAAATACGTTTACATAAATTGTGTATGATCAAGAAATATAAAAAGAATAGTGTGATTAGTGACGATCATCTATGCATTATTGATATTGATCGAGTTCGTCATCGACTTCAGCATCCTCTTGGTCTTCTGTCCTTAAGTTTCAATCAGTGCTGAGCACTCGATATAGTCGATTAAAATTTCCTCTGACTAAAGTAATCGACAAATCAATCGCAACTAATTAATTCTCATGTACAAAATGGCGTGATTCCGCCGATTGAAATTAATTATTAATCGTTTTGACATGATTGATTGATACTTGGTTCCGTCAAGCGATTAAATTATTTATGATTTTATATATGACAATTTATTAATATTGATTGCTTCAGTCCAGGAAAATAACAATTTTTTAACGCTGTTATATTATCGCGTCTTAGATCTCGCGATTTTTATCGGTAATGTTGTCGACTCCGGTCCTCGTTTTGTTGAATTCCACGGAGAGCTAATAAATATTTATAATTTGAGAATCCGCATTCTCAGCGTATCTCAGAGATACTTGATCTTTCCATGAAAAGATAAATTATGGAAAGTCATGCTATTTTGTCTCGAGACGCTCAGAACGACGGAAAACTTTTACGGCCCTTGTGGAGCCGGTTGAGCTCGTATAAGCCGTTTGTTGAAGGAAAAATAAGTATCTTAGGAAAGGGAGGTTTTAAGACGCTCGCGAGTTAAGTGGGTGCTCCGCTTTACATCACAGACACGTTGCTTTTGCCTCGACTGCGGAAGAACGCCTCGCGTGCCTCAACGTGCATACCGATGTTCCGAGCTGAAGTAATACGCGTTACAGAACTAATCGTGCGATAAAGATACCATAGAATTTGCAGTATCATTATTCTGAGTCGCGAAAAACATATTAGACTCGATTTTCACTCTTCGACAGTGAACTAGCCATTTTCTATAATTACATAAGTGGATCGTGGGAACAATGACGGCGATTTATGATCGGACCAGTAGGGCAATGGAGTAATTTGGGTAATTAGTAACTACATCAATTAACGAGCAGTGTGCATCCGTTAAAAGCAACGAAGCGAAATCGCAAAAATGGACCCGACAGTTCCCCGTCGCAAATTGCGTTCCGCGTATCGCGAAAATTCGAAGGAGCTCGGCCGGCGATGACGGTTCCCGTCAGTTCTAATCAGCCCGACAGGCAATTATTCCGCCCGAGAGCGGCGATAATCGAAGCGTGAAGGGCCGCGCGGAAGGGAGGACAGGCAGACGGAGGGAAGGGATTCTTTTTTACCTGGACGATAGGAAGTTGCAGGGCCAAAATTCCTAGCCAAGACAAATTGGCGTCGGTCATCTCGAGGCTTGGGAAGGGCAGACAGGGCCAGCAGCAACATGGCCCAACTCGCAGTATCAGCGACGGCGTCTCGGTTATCTTTCTGCGGCCGACGTCGAGCAGCAGGAGATAAAGTCGATAGAGGGATATCGTCAGAAAAACTTGGGTTACTGCTTCCGATAATAGCTGGCCCCTGTCGAAAGTCGAACGAGCGCTGCTTTAGAGTCGTGTCGCGACGCAGGTCTAAATTTTTCCGGAGATTAGCGAACATAATGAAACCGCAATGGAACTTAAGGGTGTCACCGTTTCTCATAAATCGATAAATTTTACTTAGTTTACCTAGTTTTTAGTTTTTATTTAACTTCCGCAAAAATGATCAAAATTCAACGATTTGTCGAGCAGCATGAATCTTTTAACGTTTTTGCGACTCAATGAAGTTGAGGAAAGTTAAAATAAAAAAACAATATATATTTTAAGAACTATACCATTTACTATAACATTACTATATATGGTTATACTATAACATTTAGAAAAATGGTCAGGATTTTTTCCCGTGTTCGAGTTTCTAAAATTAATTAATCTTCTATTTCGTTATCTGCTATTATTTTCTTTATCTTCCCATTCAGAATCTGAAGATTCTTTATCTTTATCATTCATTTCATAATTTTTTGTGCCATTGATAACAACTGAAACAATATTTGAAGTGTCAGCGAAGCAATTAAAACTTCGTTTCGGAGGATTATATAATCAACAACGCAAACGTCGTCTTCTCGCGAACACAGCCGGGTATCGAGAACCAGTCATTCTGCAAATATAATCCAATAGATAGACAAATAGATGAGTAATGTAGAGTTTATCAGTCAAAATCTTAGTGCAAATGCTCACTCAGACGACAAAAGACGCAAACAATGACTCTCGCGTTTCCGTTCATGTTTGCGAGGGACCGTATTTCTTTCTTTTTCGCAGAAATGTTGATTTGCCTGAACGGGAACGCGACGATTTTTCTCGATGCGCACACGATAATAATGCACGTATTTTCGTTTCACGCTTCGCCGACGCCGAGTTTCTCTCCTTGTTTCGTTACCGTCGTGTTGCCGTAATAGGGCTTTTTTTTTCTTTCTTTTCTTTTTTTTACTTCACCTTGGTATCGCGATTGCCGTGAGACTGCATATGCTCGCGACCGGATACACCGACAGGATCATGATGGCGCTTGTTTTGTAGAAGCTGGAGTCCTTTTGCAAAAGAATGTTATGACAGGCGTCGACCGCGATATACAGCGTCAAGACCGACAATATCGATCCAATAGTCAATAATCCGATTCCGAACTTGTTCAAACCTGCAAAAACCCATTATTTATCGTATATCGCGGGGCTGGTAGTCTGTAAATTTGTTAAAATGAAATAGCACCCTAAACAAATCTTCATTCAAACACTCGAGGCGAACATTTACTTAAAATTGTAGCAAGAATCTCGAAACCGCGGAAGTGAGTGCTTCACCAAGCTTAAAGTGGATTCTTCGTGGAATGAATGTTTCAATTAGTTAGTTTAGATAAATTTGTTCCTGCACTGAGAGAAATGTCTCTCCACGGTATTTAGAGAATATTTTTGGAGAAAGGGAGATATCACAATTAGCTGACTTGAAGTTTGCAGAATTAAATGATGAATTCGTCTCGTAATTAAAACGATTATCATTATTTCGAGGAACTTTGATGTTCGCGATTTCTATTGAAAAACGATAATAAAATTGAATTATCTTTATTTAGACTTTGACTTTCGCAAGAACAATTTCAGTGTTATCGTACATAGAGAAAATATTGTAGCAAGAACTGCACTGAAAGATTTTTGTAATCTTAGACTATACAGAATTATGACTAAAGTTACTACAGAGTATAGCTCTTTTAAAAATGTTATAGGCTTATGTTGACAATTAAAAAAATCAAAATCAATGAATTTATCTTAATGACGCCGTCTAGAAAACAAACTTTCAGATGATGTTATCTTTGATATCAAACATTTAATAGACAAAAATTTCATATTTTGCTTAGTTTTAAAAATAATATCTCTCGTAATAAATACTTTTAATTTCATTCTGTGAAATTAAAAGTGTCGAAAAATGTTAATGTTATATTTGACGTTTTACTACAAAATTATTGTAAATACTTGAGTACTTTTTATATCGTGTATTTCACGTGGATCGTAAAGTTTATTTTTTCTATAGTAATTTAAACTGCAATTTCAGCACACAATTCAGAGTTTTATTAAATTCTGAAAAGAAATATAATTTTTTTAACGGAGAAATATAATTTTACTACATTTTCTTCGTGCACGGCATTGCTGTGTTATTATTGTTGTTATAATTGTTCGCGACGTATCTTATCCGCAATATTGATTAAGTTTATCGTTAAATATTTCCTTCACACGTGCAACTTGGCCGCACGAGCAATACACGCTAATCGCTCGATAGTCTCGAATAATAGCATCGCACGATAACTTTCTCGAGAGTTTCCTGCGATTGACCGAGAAAACTGGGGCGGGAAGGGTGAGGGGGCATTGATTGCCATCCGAAGGCGATACGTCGCTATTTTTGCGCGTTATCTGTCCTGTAGAAGTCGATAAGGTTGCACGTTCGCCAAAGCTGCAGGTAGTCACGCGACACGAGGCACAATCGCGAATTATGAAACAGTAGGCCTATTCTGTAACTTTTAACGCCAATTTCGTTATCGCTAAACTTCGTTATGCAGCTATTTTGTGATGTAAAATATGCACGTCGCATGTGCGTTATCTTATAACGCACGCGTTAACAAGTTACAGAATAGGCCTGCAGATATCGGGCTACTTGTCGACGAGGCTGTATATCCTGATCGGAGATCGGGAGGAATCCGGCCGATCGGAAGGATGAGTTGGCGCGTTGGAAATTGGAACGTGATCGATCAGTCGTAGTGAAGATTGAGATCGCGGATCGGAATTCGGCGCATCCTTTAATCTGCAGTCGTGATATCCAGTGACGCCGCGGTATCGATTGCCAACTGATACCTGGCAATCGTATTACGGCAGCTATATTACCAAAAATAGAGATTGTCTCATACGCTTATATTCGTACATACGCTACATGTAAACTGCTTGAGATCTTTGAGAACATGATAGAGTTGAAGATTTGTGGATTCTTGTTTGGATTAAAATTTCTTGCATCAGATAGGTGTAGAATCAAACTTTGACAAGGCCCTAACATGTATTAGGCTAAAATTGGTCTTTCTGACTTCTCATCGTGTCTGGATATACAACATGTGTGATATAAACGTGTTAATAATTATTACTTGAAACTTGTCTCAAGTGAGACACTCAATTTTAAATTCAGAATTAGATAAGAGTTTTGCGATTACAGATATAAGTCATAATTCAACTGAAAAACTTGGGTTTATATAATCCTGAATAAAAATCTAAGACGTGTATTAGTAGTTTTTACTTGAAATTTGTCTTAAGCAAGATACTTAGATTTTTATTCAAAGTTAGATTTAAGTTTTTCTGTTGAATTATATGATATATGTAACATATCCGTAATCGTTAATTAATTGAAAAAAAACTTATATATATATCCGTACTCGTTAATTAATTGAAAAAAAACTTTCATCTAACATAGAATTGGAATTTAGATACCTCATTTAAGACGAGTCTTAAGTAATGACTATTAATAAGTATCTCATATGAGATCAGCTTCAGATAACAACCATTAGTAAGGGCCATCATATGATATGATATAGTGTGTTACGACATAACTTGGTTACATACGATGTAATTTGATGTGACATAATGTGTCAAGATGTCAATTTGACAGATTAGCCGAGAATAATGAATAGTCATAATGTTTATATGTGATAGACAAAATATAAATAATTGAAAAGACCGGTGAATTTTTTTTTAATAAATGTTAATTTATCAGGACACCTGGATACTAATTTATCGAGATATTTGATGAGTAGCAGTTTATCGATTGCTTTTGTTAATTTATCGTTTGATATAAGCTTAATGTACAGATTGATATATAATGGTCTGCAACAATATCAACATGCAATCAGAGACTCATAAAGCTGTGATTATTTGCCAGATAACAGCAAACTAAGAGTACCGGTCTTGACTTGAGAAAATTCTCGTATGAAAAGAGCCGAGGCGTTTGAAACTGTCGTTAAACTATAATTAGCGAATTGCAAAAAGTTATGAGTTAAGGAAGCAAGGATTTTAAAGAGGTAACGATTGTAGAAGGCAAACGGGTTACCTAACGATGAAGTTACTTCATGAAAAAGTTACGCGATGTTTGCGTTCTATTAATTACTGTTATACTACGCAAAGTACACGCGTTTCTCCTGAGTAGCACGAATTTCTACGCGCCAAGCACGACTGTTAGTCGCGAACAATTAAAGCACGATCGAATGATTCACGAATGTGATGTGTAATCCTTGATTTCGATTCCCTGTAGCTTGCAGTTCGATACAAGGGTCTACCGAACGTCGTTTTCCGACTTGTTTCGCGAGCTTAGCTAGCACAAGCAATGCATGATTATGCTACTTATCGAGCCGGTTTATTTACCCGCTGGATTAATCTCGTGATAAATACATCCGTTACGCAAATGTACCTACCGTCGTCGCCCGCTCGACGTTCCCGTATGCGTGATATATGAGACGTTGCGAAAACATTGGATATCGAGAATTTATGGTAGAATCATTTTGTTATGCCTCTTCGGAATAGTACCGCGATTGTGCCGCGCTAAAATAAAAAATTCGAAAAATTCTTTTGGTTTGGTGGTTTGAAACTTTGTTATCGGCTTTTACGTTGACTGTCACGTTGGTTTCCAGATTAATTAAAACAAGAAAGAATTCTTTTGAAACAAATCACGAATAAATGAGCCTTTGAGAGTTTAAGCACAGGTGTTTATCTAAGTTCTCAATTAGTTGATATCGCAATATATCTGTGCCTGAACTTTCAAAGGCCCTGTATTTTATTCCAGATTAATGTTCGATTCAAGTTTAAATCGCGTCTAAATTATTGATAATAATTATTGATTTTAAAATGCCAGAAAAAGAAAATTAAAAGAAGTCAATAAATAAGTGCAATATATGGTACATAAGCGAGAGTTTTATAGTAAAAATTACTTTTACAGGGAGAAGTGTATAGTCAAATAGGCAGCCAATGAAACGAACTAATGAATATATAGGGAAAGAATATTACAATTTCTTTTTCATATAAATTCTTTTCAATCTTACACTGTTTTTAGTGTGTGTAGCGCAGTAATAAACTGTCAGAAAAGATTCTCTCTTTTGTTAAGGTAAATTTTTTTAGGAATAATATCAAATTTTTTAATGATATAAAATCTCTGAATTGAAATCTTGCATACTTAATTCGTCACATGCATTTGAGAGAGAAATTATGTTTCATTTATCATAGTGAGACGCGACAAGGGGAAGGGGAGCGCTATTTATCATAGCGCTGATTACTGGCAATTTTCACAATAGTCAACTTATTTTGACGTAATTTATATGACTTTGCAATTCAAATTTTCCATAGCTTTTATGTAATTAATTTCCTGTCGTTCGTGTCATCTTCTATTTCCTCATCTTCAAGGTTATCTGCTTTTCATGCAACCGCATATTCCGCACTTTTCCGACTTGCTTTAGTCGCTTGGAAAAATATAGAATTCTTTTGAATCAGATTATTATGATAATTATTATAATAATTCTCTCATGAAAAAATGCACGATACGTAATCGTGAGGTTACGCCTCATCCCGAGGGTATTCAACTCGAACTCGTAAGAGTCCTCGTAATCGATAAACACAGCGATCGCAACTTTCACTGGTGCGTTCATGTCGGTCGCCGCATGCCGCTCAATACGAGCGAAAATCATCGCGACGAATTTGTTTTTATCCTAAAGCGAATTATATTTTTACGGATGTGTGCTAAAATAAATCGATCCCTGTTCAATTCGGGATTTGTTATTAAGAGAGGTGTATACGAAGTTTTACGCGTAATAAGAATGTTGGATTCATATTTCTTGATATAAATAATATATATTAACAATGAGAAAATTTGTAGATTTGTAAATTGGAACTTGAGGAGATAATGCGATATTGGACTATTTTTTTGCCTTGTAATTCTGTTATATCTGTTAATCTGGCGTGTAGTTCCTTCGCGATAAATTCATGATTATCGCGAAAAGAGAATAGCAGTCTTGAAAAGCACATGAGCACATAAATCTTTGTTAAATTCGAAAGTCATGTTATTCGATAAAAACAAGTGTTACATATCCACACATGCCGAGAGAGAAAGCGTCTAAGAAATAAAAAATATTTGTGTAGGCACTAATAACGTATTACTTAACTCTATTACATTACTTAACTTTAAGTCCTTTTGTTTAAACAGAATAAACAATTGCTTTTGTGAAAAGCGACGATTATAAGAAAATATAAATTTTACCATTTGAAAGAGAAAGAAGTGTTTTCTTAACGGAAAACTACTGATACAAGTCATTATATTATTAGTACTCACAGAATAAATTTTATTATTTTTTATTATTTTTATTTTTATTATTTTTTAGACATTTCTTCTCTCGAAATGTTTCGTGGTAGTCATGAAATAAAAGTACAGCCGGAGCAATCTGTCGACTCACAAAAACCATATAAATAATTGTGGCTAAAAGATACAGAAGAATTAATGCGAATTGAAGGCACAGATTACGCTTCACATGATTTTCTGCGTTTTGCTGTGGGATAATCCAAGTATCCGTGATCATGCCACTTCCGCGTGTCTTTCGTGAAAGATGGGATATTTTCGCGATTTTTTCCGCGAATTTAATCGTCGAGTCGTTTATTCGACGTGTATTGACGCAGGGAAAAGCAAGCGTCACGATCTCTAAGGCATTTTAATTCCCTGTCCGGCCTCACGGCATTTCTATTACTGTCCGCGCCACCATCATCCGCGCTAAACTCGGAACGCCCGCTTTAGCGGCGCGCAACTCACTTTCTACGTTTTCCGTCGTTGTAACAGCACGACGCGCGACTTTCCATGCATTGTATGAAACATCATTGAACTAGAGTCGATTGACTCGCGATCAGCGGACGGGAAGAATCAAGCAGGATTATCGAGGATTACAGACTCGATACGACGAGTTAATTGAAGGCACTTGGCGTTTGGTGAAAAGGTGCGCGACAATTTGCCGGTCATTAAACTATTTTATTGCAAAGTCATCGAAAAGCTGCAACTCTCACGGCCTTTCATTTCCTTCTTTTTGATATTTATAAATTTACTATGGTTTATATATTATGAGCTTATAGATCTTTGTACACACTGAGGGAAAAATTATCTTAAAATCAACAAATCTTTCTTTGATGGGTGCCTTAATCAGTGCCTTAATTTACCCGATTTAAGTAAACAATATTTGGTTTAAATAAAGAGAATTTAGATTTAAATAAATATGTTAATGGCACCCATTAAAAAAATATTTATTAATTTTAAGATAACTTTCCCTCAATGTAGCAATTTATAAATTCAACTGGAAAATTTGGCGATTTTTTAAATACTCGACCGGTGAAATCGTTTATTTGAAAGTCGGCTTGTTTACTTCATGTGTCGATTGTTTATTTTATGTGTATCAGATTTCTCGAATCTCCATAGAACAGCTGTACAAGCAATCGCAGGAATTTGCATTTCAAAGGCATACCTTCCTAGCACACAATTAATCTCGCGCTCGCGAAAGACGAATCGCGAAAGAGGATTCCGTTCAGTTTCACTCGCTTCGATTTCGATAGCGGAAGAGCACTTTCTCGCGAAATCGCCGTCGGCGTGACACTTACTCTCTATGAGCTCGATGGCGGTGGGCACATAGTCGGGGTTGCAGTTGCTTTCCACGAAACTCGGCACGGTCTGCTCCATGGTCACTCGCGGGGTCACTCGTACGTGATTAAACGACGAGACAGGTGAAAAGCTCCGATCTCGTCACCACCAGCACTCGCGTGTGCAGCCGGCTGGCTGCAACTCGCAAACTCGAAGAAACTCGAAAGGTGAGCGCAGCCTCGCGCGAGAGTTCGCCCGCCCGCGAACTCGGCCGCGATGACGACGACGAGAGAGAGAGAGAGAGAGAGAGAGAGAGGAGAAGCCGAGCAGTGAGAGTGGGTCCCCACTTTTATCGGCGCTGATTGCGAAGATCGTGGTGTTGTAACGAATTATCACGTAGCGTGCTCGCAAACCTTTACGCGCAAGACTTTCTCTCCCTTTCGTTGCGGTGCTGTCTCGTTCGAATTGTCTTCGTCTGTTTCCCGTGTAGAAGTAACTAACCGGCCTGAATCACAAACTACTATGTAGCTAGCTACATTAGAGAGACTAGATTTTCTTTACTAATCTGTTTATTCATTGAAACATAGACTCGGGTTTGTCCAGCCATTATATATAAAATATAATCGAGTAGATGGCGCTGTCTGTTCTAAGATATATTATTCAGTTACTAATGTTACTGATATCTAAGTTACTCTAACTAACGTCACTAATGTATGATAATATATGATAATATACGAATCGGGTTACTCTCAACATAAAAGTGCATCGAGGAATTTTCTTATCGAAGGATTTTCGTTAATCTCACTCCTTAATATGTCATGAATAACAGGGGAAGCTTGCAAAGAAAATTATCTGGTGGCGCTTTTCCACTTATTTCTTCCAAAAACTTGCGGTGTAATCTCAAGTTCGTTCTGAAAGGAAAAGTCTTAGAATAGTTTGAGTATCAGGACGGACAGAACATTGTAGCTGTAATGAGAGAGAGAGTGGAATTTAATCTAGAAAATTCTCTATCATTACAGCTAGACTTTTCTTTTCAGAGCGGACTCGAGATTACAGCGCAGGTTTTTGGAGGAGATAATTGGAAAAACGTGACCAGAAATATATACATACATATATTGTTCATGATAAGAAGCTATTATCACTTTCGTGTTAAAACAATCAAAAGATATACTTGAGGCCAAAAATAATTATAATTTTAGTTAGATCAACTATTGTTTTTTTCTTTTCTTTCAGTATTTTTAGTAGTCCAAGAATAGACTGTCAGTAAACTCTATCTTGCTAAGGAATATAGTAAATTTCAATATTGTTCTAATGTTTTTTACTAATGCAACAAAATATTTACAGTAATATATTTGTATTGAATTCATATTATTAATATATCATCATTAATATATAAAATACTCTGAGTAAATAGTGAGTAAAGTTAAAAGTTGATTGGTAGAATCGACAAGAACAAAAAATAATGTCGACGTCCTCTCCAAGGTTTAATAAAGTTACTTTCGTTACCATGAAAAGTTGACCTTGTACAGATATTTTTATTGTCTCGTGTCGCGAGAACGTTATCTCAGAACATACGTGAAAATATTAGCATCAATCAAATACGAAAAAATGCGAACGTGACCGTCGGGCGATTTAATTACGATACGGTTACATGAGACCAAAGGAAATCCATTTTGCGCAATCCGCAAAGTGCTATCGCCATTCGACTGCAGAATACAAATTGTTTCAATGAACGAGCAAGAGCGAATGTCTTGTACTATTATGATTGCAAATCGCACAATACGTATTTCGTTCTCTCTTGCTCTTCGAAAGAAAAGAAATTATTTTATGATGGTTGATCGTTACCTGATTAACGGCGTTCATTTTCGGGTGTGATGGTGTGTTCGGATATCTGTTTACTGATTTTTTGTTTATTATATTGTCTCACATTTATTCTTAAAGTCACTTTGCATAAAAATGTTAAGATAAAGTAAACAAAAAATGTGTTTTAGGATATATTTCACTTTTATATCAGAATATGTCAAGATAAGATATTTAGAGATGTCTGTGGCAAGCAATTTGTTGACCCTCTTTATGTTTTTAACTTACGAAGATGTCGAAATGGATAACAAACTTTAAAAAAGTCGGTAACGTAAAGATGGTTTCTAGCACGATCGTACTATGCCTCTTGTATTTCTTGTACATACAGATCTTATATAAGTGCGTGCTACTTTGTTCCCACGCTGACAGCATATAACCACGCACATATATAGAGATCTTTCTGCAAACTTTTCGTATATTTTCGAACTTTTACCTTCAGTTATAAAGGTATAAAAATGTTCTCTGAAATTAGTGGAGCAAATATGTGTGGTACGTACAAATTGCAGGACTTTCGTATCAAGTACATGTTTACGTCAACTGACAGCTCGAGAGAGATGTTAGTTTTACAATTTTTTATTGTTCTCGTCACATATTGAGCAGCAATGTTTCGATTCATTACACACACTTTCAGTGTACAAAAGCAGTTGTAATTTCCGTACAACTAATACGACGTAAACTTTGCAGAAAAAATTAATAAAGTATTCAAGTATGGTATCCTTTTAACAACTCACCTCTTATACGTAGATTGACGAGAAGGATATATTTATGTAAAGAAAAAAGTAATTTTATTACAAAAGAAACAATATTTTTTATTCTAAATATCTGAGATATATCAATAGCATTGATTTAGCTTATTGCGGAAAATTAATTAGAAATTATCATGAAAGGAGGTTCAAATTCAAGCTGTAAACAAAATTATCGTTGGTTAAATTAATGAAACCTGAACCGATACATACGCGTACTTGGATATTCTTCCGATCCTCGCGCAGTTTGTTTGCTTTCCACTGATATTTATGAACGATAAAATTGATTAATAAAATTAATAATTACCTTGTGGATATAAAAAACTAACGAGTTTTCGAAATGTTCTCCTTTTATTTTTCCAATTTAGTTATCAATTGACGATTAAAAGCGTATTTGGTGACTTGCTGTTAATAACTCGTCTTTACTGATTAACGGTAATACCGTCTGGTCGAAGACGGCCCGACAGTGAATCATCGATCGCTGCGTATCCTCGAACGATACTCCTTACCGACTGCAGCATGAATCTAATTCTCCATTGATGTCGCTCGCAGACGCGGATAAGCGTTCACGGAGATGCAATTGCGACGGGAGAACACGCATACAAATGTTTTTGGACCGATGTCTACCTTTTAACTTTGCTTTCTATTTCCCGGTCAAATGTTGAATTTCGCAAAGTTTTGCGGGGGAAATCCACTGAACGGATCGGATTTTTTATTCTATTTCTTTCTCTCTCTCTTTCCCCTCTCTCTCTCTTTCTCACGATTTCGAGAGAGGAATATGATGTTTTAGGCAACCAAATTGATATTCACATAATCTCGATATTTATTGCAATAATTTGCCAACTCGCGGTTTTGCGGCCGCGAGTGGCAATTCACGTATCGAAATGGCAACGAAATGGGAATATCGAGCAGCAACTTCAACGATACCTCACGTGAAAAAGCTGTATTATATATTTGTGACGTGTTATTGCAACACGGCCGGCACGGCGTGAAAAATTTCGTCGGTGGTGCTACGGAGAAAATTGAAAACTCGCGGAAATGATAAATGGTCGTTTCAACGTTACGATTTTGATTCGCATCTGGTTCGCTGATGTGTATGTATAGATATATATATATTTTTTTTTGCAATCCCATGCTGCCGTGGTCGAAGGCACTCGCCGTGTGAAAATGCATTTTAATACTTCGACATATGTACGAGAAGAGAAAAATGTGCACACGTTTGTTGTACGTTGTGAAGAACGCGAAGACATCAATATTCCCATTTTGACGCGTCCATACATCGCAGCGATTAACACGTTGGCTTCCACACTGATCTCCATAGCTTAATTCGAATTTGAATCACCAAAGATGCGGCAGATAAATGCAATTCACGATATATGCATTCGTTAGCTTGTTTCTCATTCGTTTTCTGTCGACTATATATTTAATTTGTTACACGCAGTTGGATTATACGTCTTATACGTAAATTAGAGACTGAATAATATTAGGTTTGTTCCATTCAACTGAACTAGGTTACACTTCTTCTCATTAGTGTGATTTTTCGATATTTTAATTATTATTCTACTTGTCCTTTCAGTTCTGAATCTCATGTTTAACCATAAACAAATAAGTATGTAGAATGAAACAAGCTCACGGAGGAAATATTGTAGTACAAATTACGTTAGAATGATATTTCTTTTTGTAATGTTTTTTGTAAAGCTGGACTACATTGTATTTTTTACTTAGATTACTCCCTGTAACTTTCTCTCTCTCTCTCTCTCTCTCTCTCTCTCTCTCTCTCTCTCTCTCTCTCTCTTTCTCTCTCTAATATATATATATATATTTTTTTTTTCTCTCGAAACTAATTGGATATATGAGTTAAATCGACCCTCCTAACCTGTTAGCTTCGTCAGTATTTATAATAATTTTTGTATCTACATTTTTTTTATAATTGTCCTTTGGTTTTGGGTTTATTATTCACTTGTCGACGAATCACGTTGAAGGTTTGTCTACCTGGAGTGAGAATTCGTTAAGCACGCGAGTCAAATTAATTCGTCGATCGCGTCGCGCTCCTTCGCGGATCTGCTCGATCGTCGATCAGGAATGGAACAGAGGGCGAGGGAGGAATGCTGGCCTTAAAGAGCAATATCGTCGACGTCTCATCGTTCGCGAGGGGGAGTGAGCGAACGGTTTGACAAATGTCCTTCATAAAAAAATGGTAGGAAAGAGCAGGAGGAAGCAGATGCGGTCATGGCGGCGGTGTTTAACTAATTTTCCCCGGCGCGTAGCTTTTTTCCGTCGGTGTGTCGGCCTAACATCGTGTTCCAATTAAACGACACGGGCGATAGCAGGGCGGGGGGAGCAGCAAGAGGATGATATTAGGAGGAGTGAAGGGGGCAAAAGAGCGAACGCGATCGATGGCCCGCCGAGTATCGGGCGAATCTCGAGAGCTTGCGAGTCGGGGAAGCTACTTCCGCTCTGAGGTTCACGACGCCCGCGTTCGGATTCGTATGTGTGACCTTGGTGGAGGAGAAGCAAAGAGGTGGAGCAGGAGGGGGCAGAGGAAGAGAGGCGAAGAGGGTCGATTCCTCGTGCAGATTAAGCGCATGCATGCATGCGAGACCTCCGCCGCCGCCTTCATCGGCGGTTTACAGTGGTGTCAAATGAAATTTCATGTTTGAAAAAAGGCCACGGTCTCGCGCAATTTAAAACCAATTTCGATGTTTTTTTTCTTATGAGTGAAAGCTAATGAAATTTAAAACAATTTTGTCGAGCCGGTTTTTTGTTTCCCGCTTCCTTCTAAATCGGACACGAAGAAATTAGATTTAGAAATATTTTTCTATGAAGCACGTCCGATAGATGCTCGAAACTTGCTATTTCAATAACAATGATTGGTAAAAATTGATAAATTGATGATTGGTAAAAATTGATAACATCAGTAATAAATTAGTCTTGCTTAATTGATAACATATTAGTAATA